CAGTGTGTAATAACTCAGCTATTCACCATATTATAAATATTAATTGACTTTTTTAAACATTTCAAAAATTACTCAAGCAAAATGAAAATGATGTTTTTTTTGGTTTTTATAAAAAAAATCAAATAACATTTAGAAAACATTTAAAAAACATTTTATTTTTTTATTTATAATTATCAAAAGCGGTTTTTTCTAAAACGTTTTTCCACCTTTTTATTTTCTATGTCAAAGTGATTTTTTTATGCTATACTTTAAATAGAAATAAAAAATCAATTTATTTTGTCCTTTTTTTGAACAAAACTTGTTTTTGAAAACAATCATCTCCAATATAAGTGAGTGATGCTGGTAGTTCGATTTCATACAACTTTTCACAGTAATCAAAACACATATCACCAAGTCTTTTAATATTATCACTTAGCTTGACTCTACTTAAATGAGAACAATCACAAAAACACTTCTTTGGCAATTCTTGTATACCTTCTGGTATTTCTATTTCTTTTAAAGACTCGCATCCAGAGAACGCCGCTTCTCCGATATATTCAATATCTTTTGGAAGAATAATTCTTTTGAGTGAGCTACAATAATTAAAACAATTGCTTTGTATTTCTTTAATATAATTTGGCAAATTTCCACCCTTAATTCCTATGTCCCCTCTAAAACATGATTTTCTAAGAGATGTGACACTGCTTGCTATTTTTATCACACTCAAATAATCTCAGTCTTCAAAACATCTTTCACTCAAATATTTAACCCCCTTTTCAACAACAAGTGTCCTCAAATTACACCCCCAGAAACACGAAGAACCAATGAATGTGACACTTCCTGGTATTGTGATCTCACTAAGGTGATAACAGTAGTTAAAAGCCTTATCCCCAAGATGTTCCAAAGTTGAAGGTAACACAATAGAAGAGAACAAACAATGGTCAAAACAACTTGTTTCAATCTTTTTAACATTTGATAATACTACAGAAGTCAAGTTAGTGCAATAAAAGAAAGAATTTTCACGTAACAACGTTATTTGTTGTGGAATAGTGATAATAATAAGTGTCGTGTCATATTGAAAAACATCTTTTTCAAAAGTGTTGACTATTTTGGGAATTGTATTTCCAAAGTGTTTTTTGTCGTCTTTTGTGTATAAAACGTTTTTGAAAACGAAATTTTTGGTTTCGCTGTTTTGCATGTAAAAATTGTACGAAACAGGACACAAAAATACAACGCGATAGTGATTAAGATGATAATTCTGTGATACAATTTGCGAGTAGAAATAATCGAAAGTATTATAAATCATGAGAGTCTCGAGGTGTGGGAAATGTTTAACATTTGTTTGAGTGAGTGGAATTGGATTATAACGAAATTTGTCAAGGGTACTGTTATACTTTTTACATACACATTGAAGTTTTACGAAATCACCAAAACTTGAAAAATATTTTGAGACAACCATTGCGTGATAACTATCAATTTTGGACATTTTAAAAAATTGATTTTCGAGTTAAAAAAATGATTGATCTAAAATATCATTTTCATATTAAAAATAAGTTTTCGTTATTATATACAATTATTTACAAGTATTAGATAGAAAATTTGGTGATTTAATACCAAAAAAGTGACTTGATATTTCTGTTGAATTCTTTGTAAAATTCAATAGTTATTTGAATATTAACCAACAACAAAAAACAGTTTATAATACAGTCAAAGGCGTAGATTTGTCGTAATTATAAATGTCGAATATGCTTATTTGTCGCACAACCGACCAATCATTTGGGTGTACGACAATTAAATATTTTGTTCTCGAATCTGTAACTTTTGTTAAATTAAAAACTGGATTTTTTATAAAAAATAAATTTCAATATTAAAAAGAATTATCAACAAATGTCACTCATTTACGACTAGACTGGCCAACCGCACTAAAATTAATCCCAAAATTTAATTTTTAAACCATTTGAGCATATTTTGACTTGTTACTTTTCTTTTTTACTTAAACTAGTAAACAATAATAATTTTAGTCATATAGATTAAACGTGCAAACGAAATAAAGAAAATGCTTTAATTTATATATTTCAGCTCAAAAGTTCGTTATTTTAATAAATAATAAAACAAATAAATAGAATGAAGTATTAAAATTATTTGAGCAAAATATGACAAATATTCATTTTGGTAATAAAATAATAAATTTTATTAAAAAATATGTACAACTTGTTGTTTTTGACATTTTTTCATTATGTGTAAAAATGATAATCGATTTTTTTTTCTCAAAAGCAAATTACCAACATCATGATATTCAATAACAACAACAGAAGATAAACAATAATTGGGATAATACATTTAAACAAACTTATAAATTGGTTTAAAGACTGTTAAACATTATTTCATATATCGTACAAAAAATAAAATACATGTAATTTCAAAGAATGAAGTTCTTAACATAATAAACAATTGTAATATTATATAAATTGTAAATCACGATTAAAACAATTTGTGTGAATTTTAAATCATGATAATTTAATTCAAATTATAAAAAGTATAAAATTTGCAAGTTATTATTCATTAGTAATATACACATTGCATATGTTTTAATTGAAACGTTATTTTGAGAATGAACAATGATTTAAACATATAAGTGGTTAACAGTTACGAAAAATAAACACAACGTTATATTTTAATTTGATAAGCTTTTAATTTATATTTTTGAAATAAAAGTTACAAATCATATTCATTATACATTTTTACTGTTATAACATTGTAATTAAATGACTGCACAATGATTATGTATTTAATAATGTTGTAAAATCAATAGTTATATTCAATTTAGATAATATTAATGAAAATGATTATTGAAAATAATTATAAATCACATCATTTATTTAAAAGACGATTACTTTTAAAAAATATATTCTTGGTAAATTTATATTGTTTTTGGTTCATACAGATTTATATTTTTTGAATATCAAAAAATATTATTTTTAAAAAAATAGTATTTAATAATCATGTGTTCCCAAAGATTGGGTGTTATTTCGCCCCCATATTTTTTCACCCTTTATTTTTTCACCCCCACTTTTCATTTTTATTTCAATAAACAATTGAAATTTTGTAACTTTAATTGAAATTGTTTTTCATTTTTATAAGAATGTTCTGTGTATTATTTATAGTAAAATTTTAAATTAAAATGAAAAAATAGCGTGTTTGATTACTTAAGTTGAAAATAGCATTATATAAAAAACGATTATTGCAAAAGAACAAGAAATGTTAACAAAAGCAACTAATCGAAAACTCCATGTAAATAATTATATTTGTATTTATAGTTATATTATGAAATGGCTAAATGGTTTCATTTAATATTCACGAAGCTTTTGATTCAATTTCAAACCAAATACTTTCCAAAATTATTAAATTAATTTATTTATAATGTTTAGTGTAAAATAATACAAATAATGATTAAAAGTTATATCTATTACTTTAAAACCAAAATTTTATATGTAACATATGTATATATAATTATGATATATTATACATGTGAATTTGTAAACTTAAAAAACATTAAAAAGAATTTGTTTTACGTGTTCTTTTTTGTTTTTAGATTTGTTTGTTAATGATTTTCTTTTCTTGTTTTGAACCATTCTAATTTTTTTATTTTTTTTGAATCTGAAATTCGTTTCTTTTAACTGGATGTTTTTTTCTTTTTAGTAAGAAATGTTTTTTTGATCTTTTGTTGTATCACACACGACAGCTGAACTCAAAAACATTTCATTGTCGTTTAGCAGGTTGTTTTGAATTACTTTATTTTCTGGTATATCTACACTTATTGTTATTACAAATTATAATTTATATTTTTATATTTTTTAATTGTCAAAATGTAATTTATTTGAATAATTAAATACAATAACAAACTTATTATCTCTTATAACGTTATCGTCATTTTTTGTTTGCTTTTTTGTCCACTCTTTTCAGAATCATTTAAATAAGGATCTGTTGTTTTTGTTTTGACGAGTTCTTCAATTAAAGCATTTTCCTCAGCAACTTCATCTTCAATAATCTTAGTTTCGGTTATAAAAATAACATCATTTTGTTTACTCCCAAGTATTACAGCACAGTCTTCCAAAAACTGTTTGGTTGTGATGGGATGAAGTCCTTTTAATTCGGCTTGTTTTTCTTCGAGTGTCACATTTTTATCCAACATTTTCGTAAATGGCCTCTTTTTTCCATACATTTTGTATACCTGAAAAAACGCAAACCAATTCTTTTTTGAAACTTTTTTAATTTTTTCAAAAATGAATGGATTGAAGGATGTGTTGTTTCAACAAAACGATTGAGTGAAGAGTGAAACCTTTTTGTTCTATTATTTGTTCTTTCTGCTATCCCAAAAAGACACCAAAAGCTAATTTTAAACACTCCTCAATATAATTTTTCCTAAAATAATATTTTTATTACGTCATTGTCATCTTTAAATTCAAATACCGTTTCTTCAAATGCATCAGAAATTATCTTTTCTGGTAAATAGGCCAAAGACATTAGCATTTTAACTACCATTTTAAAAATATCACCATCTTTATAACGGTCAGAAAACCCAAGTGCTTATACCCTTCTGAAAATTGATTGACAAAAATGAAAATGGCAACCTTTTAAAATTGTGTCATTTCCAAAAATTTGTTTGAAAAACAATTTTAAAATCTCTTATTACAATTTTGTTTTCATGGAAAATTTTCGATTCACACGTTTCTTCAATTTTATCTCTTTAAATTTTTAGCGGTCATTAAACAATAAAATACAGGAAAACTTTGACCATATTGCATTGCATGTATGGTGTAAAATTGTGAAAACAATTCTGTGAAATAAGTTATACAAAATATTATGTTTTTTGCAAACAAATATAATTATACAATTTGTTATTAATAACATTTATTTAAAACAAGCTTGATAAACACAAATGTTTGATGATGTTAAAACTAACAAACTGGGACACGATTTGAAAGTACCATCAATAAACAAAACATTTGAACGTTTGACAAAATCAAAATATTCTTTCGCGCCAAATATTAAAACAAATTCATCTTGATATAACAACATTTCCTTTTCTTCTTCTGTTAAAATTATAGAAGAGACGTTTTTGGGGTTGGGTCTATTTTTGAAGATGTTCAACTATTCCCACACAAACCGAAAGTCGTTTTGAAGATCCGTGAATATAAGCCTCATATACTAAACTGTTTTTCAAAAGTCGGTACTGTCATATTTTTAGAACTTCCTAAAGTCCCGTTTTTATTTTTGTTTTTTCCTAAAAAAATAAAAAACAAAAAATCGAAAGTACCGACTTTATTTTGAAAAAAATACCAATCCCGTTCAATTATTTTCGTACATATTCGGGAAAATATCGGAATATTAGCCATCTTTTTCCAAAAAACCCGATCCCGTTATTTGATTTGACCATAAATCGATACTTCGCAACATATACACAGCATTGTTGACCTAAAAGCACAACAATTAACGTTTAAGTGAATTGGGATGGTGTTGTTTGTGTCGAGTTTTAACTGATAATTACTTTCGTTAAAAAAAATATTTTCAATTAAAAACAAACATGTGGTTATCTTCTCTGAATAAAAAATAATGAAATAAAGAGTTCCAAAAACACCAAATAAATTATAGCAAATGTTTGATAATTTTGACAGGCATAAGCCAAAATTGTCAAAGGGCAACACTAGAAAAATAATACAAAATAACAATAATGTTTTGTTATTGGATATTTTAAAAAAGATGTTCTCACTGAAATGCTCAAAAAGAATGTCGACTTTTTAAAAAACAACGAAGATAAGTTATCAAATCATTTTGTCATTTTTATTGTTCTTGTGACAACACTATTAAGCATACTAATCTTCGAACTAAGCTTTTGTTTTGTGAATATTTCATTAATTATTAAAATGTTTGATAATGAAAAAATTTGACATTAAGTTTATTTGCTTTTGACAAAAATGCACTTTTGGGATAATTCGTGTGTTTTTATGAAACAAAAATCCCGTTATTTCAAATTTTATATGGAATTTTTTAATGCTTAAAAATTCTTCAAGTAAAAAAATATTTTTTGAAGACTGTTTTTCTCTTTTTAACTTGGAAAAAATAAGCGATTTTATTACAAAAAAACGATTCCCAAAAATAATAAACAAAATAAATGCAAAAAATCGGGACACCTCAGTACCGACTTTTGAAAAACAGTTTATTTCAATTGGACTTTTTAAAGTTCCAGAATCTGTTAATGATTGTTGTTTTAATTTTAAACATAATAGATCATCCCAATAATCTGTTGTATTGTGACCATGTATTGTTTTCTTCCCCCGAAACTCAAAATTTGTTAAATGTCCATTTTCGTCTTTGAAACAATAAATAAGTTTACCACACGTTTTACACCTAAAATAATCTCGTGAAGTAGTTTTGGGCCAATATTTGTAACCAATAATATAAGGCAATTCCATGTCTCTATCAGATTTCAATATCGCGAAATGTGGTGGAGCAATGGTATTAAATTGTAATGGATGCATTGATTATTTATAGTTTATTTTAATTATTTAAATTGCAATTTAGTTTTAAATCGTTTTTATCATTTATTATTGTTTGCTATTTGTATTTGTATTATTTTACACTAAACATTATAAATAAATTAATTTAATAATTTTGGAAAGTATTTGGTTTGAAATTGAATCAAAAGCTTCGTGAATATTAAATGAAACCATTTAGCCATTTCATAATATAACTATAAATACAAATATAATTATTTACATGGAGTTTTCGATTAGTTGCTTTTGTTAACATTTCTTGTTCTTTTGCAATAATCGTTTTTTATATAATGCTATTTTCAACTTAAGTAATCAAACACGCTATTTTTTCATTTTAATTTAAAATTTTACTATAAATAATACACAGAACATTCTAATAAAAACGAAAAACAATTTCAAATAAAGTTACAAAATTTCAATTGTTTATTGAAATAAAAATGAAAAGTGGGGGTGAAAAAATAAAGGGTGAAAAAATATGGGGGCGAAATAACCTTTCGCCTTCCCAAAAACGTTTATTTTTTAAAATTTGAAATAAATAAAATGTTATTTAACTTTTGTTTATCGCTTCCAAATAATAATTAGTTTTTAATAATTTATTTGTAAAAGCAAAAGTCGGTTATATGTGTGGTCAACTTTGGTTTCGGCAAAAAGGAACGTTGCTTTAAAAATTCGGCATAATTGAAAATAATGGTCATCGGTTGGCCAGTCTATTTACGACAAATAGATACTTTTTTCTACTGGATTCACGACAAATAGACGCCCTTGACTGTATTATTAAAAATAATTGAAAATTATAAAACACTTAAATCTAATTTTAAATGATTTATATTTAAAAAAAATTAAAAACGATGTTGTTAATTTTATTAAACCATTTTAACTTTTGATTATTTATCTAATAATAATATTATTATGAAAAACTATATCTTTTTATTAATATAAAGAGGAATTTATTTAAATAAAATCTTTAAATATACCAATTGTAATGAATAGTATTGAACGACTTAATGTCCTTGTTATTGGTCCTTGTTATTCTGGCAAATCCAGTTTAATAAAAAGGTATATTTTAAATGAATTTATAGACATATATGATCCGATAATAGTAGATACTTACAACAAAAAATTGAAGTTCAAAAACAAAGAATTAATTCTTCAAATTACGGACGTCACAGGGTCCGAAAGTTGTGAAGCGATTTTATATGATGAGATAAGAAACAAAGATGGATATCTACTTGTGTATCCCATCAACTCCAAAGAGAAATTTAAAGAAGTTGTTGTTTTTCATCAACGAATTTACAAAGAGTTGAACAAAACTTCAGATGAAAAAATTGCCCTCGTCTTGTGTGCCAACAAAAGTGATTTGGAACAAGAAAGACAAGTATCTACACAAGAAGGACAGGATCTTGCTGATGAGTGGGGCTCTCTATTTTTTGAAGTGTCGGGGAAACACAACATATATGTTGACAAACTTTTTGAATCACTAGTAACAGAAATTATTAATCAAAAAATAACAAGTAAAAATAATTTTAATTATGATTATAAATCAAAACAAGACTGCGTTTTAATGTAATTAATATGCTGTGTTGATATTGTTTTTGGGCCTTTTTATTTCAATATTTTCAAAATAATAAAGTTTTTTGTCATAAAAAGCGTTATGTTAATTTTTATTTGAGCATTGGACTATAATATATATAAAGTGACTCCCCAAAATGTGTAAGTTAAAATTTTAATCTTTTTTTAAAAGAAAATAAATGTATTGGTACTTTTACTGGATATAAATTTGAGACAAATTAAATTTCTATAACTTCACTCTGTTTTAGTAATAAAAAGTATGCCACGCCAAATGAAAAAAACACCAAAAATTGTGTATGCTTACTAAACTTGTGAAAAAGATATTAATGAATATTATTATATCTACTACTATAATAAAGATACCCACCACCACTTAATGCACCCTATATCTGCATTTGGGTTAATCGTTCTCATGAGTTCTTTGATCGTTATTTCCTTGTTCTCAAATTTTTTTTGAAGTTATTTGTTTATTAAAACTATTATCAATTATAAACAAATTAACTTTAAAATAACTCTGTTTTTATAAATAAACTAAATAATTAAATTTTTTATAATATAATTTTGTAAATAATTAAATCATCATAATTTTTTTAATATGAATATTACAAAATTAGTAAAAGTGTTATTTACATATAGTTCATTCTTTAATATATTAAAAACATTTTAATTAATAACACAAAGTTTTGTGGGTTTCTCATATTATTTTAATAATTTATTAATAATTTGATTGAAAAAAACTATAGTTGTTATTACTAATAAGTATAGAATATCTTATCCAGTAAAAAATTTTATCGACTTGACTTAAATCATAAAAATCAAAATTATTTAAAATAATAAACGAATTAATATATTAATTATAATTTAAAGTTAAAATGTTATTCAGTATTACTTTATTTTAATAATATAAACCTAATAAAATAATTAAACTTTTTAATAAAATAATGAAAATTAGTTAATTTTTTTTTTATGAAACAAGGCAAAATTAAATGCTGAATTCAAAGAGTCGAAAATGGATTTTTTAAATGAAAAAATACTTTGGAAACAACTTTTTGGTTTTTTGATAAAAAATCGATAAAAAATCGAAAAATCCATGTCAGACTTTGTCTCAAATGACTCATCTGTACCATTCGAAAACGATATCAGTTGTTCATGTAATCAGCCGACTATAGCTGTACACAACGATCCAACTACCATCACTGACATTCCCGAAGTCCACGGCCCACAGATTGAAATTGGTGCAGATGATATTGAAGATGCCAATGAAGAACAACAAAATTATTCAAATGACACAAAACCACACAATTTGATACTCCACTTTTTTTATAACATATTTATAACTCTTAAATTCCTCTGGAAATACTTTTGTAATGGTCTTTGTGATTCGTTGATCCACTGCAATTGTATTTGCGACTTTTTCGAATGTGCGTGGTGCGACGCTGTTGAGTGCTGTGCTTGTTTTTGGGGGTGTAAATGTTGTGACTACGATTATTGTGACGAAGCGTGCACGTGTCCGTTTTATACGAAATATTGTTGTGTACCTTGCAGATTGTTGTTATGTTGTGACACAAAGCACACGTGTTGTGAGAAGTGTTGTAATGGTAAGACTGGGTGGGACTACATCTGTCAGGGGTGTGGAAAGACGTGCGACTGTTTTTGCTATGTCTGTGAATGTGTTTGTAAGCCAATTTTAAAGCTATTTGAAATTATCGGGAATCTCATTTGTTGCACGTATTGCACGTGCTGCAGTTGTGATAAAAAGTGTGACGAAGTTGTTGGATGTATGACTTGTGGGTGTTGTGGGAATGTTCGTAAATATCGAGATTGTTATGTGTATGTGTGGGACTGTGGTTATTGCAAAGAAAAGTGTTGTTACACGTGCAACTTCTTTTGTGGGGGAGAAATGTGTGTGTGCACGCCGTGTTATATAATGTGCTGTCAGTGGTTGAACTGCGATTGCCATACGTGGAATGATAAAAATGTGAAGTGCTGTGATGAAGATTGTCGGGAACAATGTTGTTATGTCTGTAAATGCGATTGTTCTCGACAATGCTGCGAATACAATGTGAGGCTGATAAGAGATGATGAATAAGAATGAATACTTTTAATCATAATAATATTTACTATTATTATTAAGTATATTTTTGTTTTGAATAAAATTGATTTAATATGTAATAATATTGAATTTTTTACTGTTTTTCGTGTTATTATTAATATAATATATTTATTAATTATATACAATGTGTTTATAATTTAATCATTGAAAGTCCACATATTTGTTTTTTAAACAATCTAGCACAACACATTCTTTAAATAAACACCCGAATTAAAAAAATTAAGTACAGTAAAAAGTGTCTTTTTGTGGGTTTTTATATTTGTGGGTCAATGGACCAATCAAATGCAAAACCCACAAATAATTATTTTGCTCTCGAACCTTGAATTTAGGTACACTTAGATAAATAATATAGTTTTATTATAATTAAAAAAACTACAATATTTTCTATAACACTGTTTTTTTATGGAAAAATGGTGAATAGAATTTACTTCACAATTCCATGTTAAACCCACAAATATACGTTTTTTCTCTGTTTAAAAACCCACAATAAAACACTTTTTACTGTATAAGAATATATAACATTATATGAATTAAAAACCGAAGTTTAAATATAATAATCTTTTTTGATTAACAAGCAAAAATTGTATTGATTTAAATGGTTTTATATATTCTATCTTTTATTTGAAAAAAATGGCAAACTTAATTTTATACCGTATTTATTAAAAATAGTGCCTTTTTAACATTACGATATTCATTTGATTATTTATACTTCGGTGTGAAACGCCTTTTGTTGTGTTTAATATTAAAAACAATTACATTTATGACAAATTTGTATTAACAACAAAAAAATTGCATTTATTAACTTTCAAAAAATAAGAAGTCAATTTTTAACTTTTTAATAATGAACAAAGTTGTAAAAATTATATTTATCTAAAATGTTTTTCCTTTTAATCAAAAAAGTGGATTCAAAAACTAGTAAAAATAATGTGTGTGCTTTTGTTTGTCTTAATCACACTTTCGTTTGGACAGCCTGGAACTCCAGATAAACCAAAACATGCAAAAGAAAAAGACGAACAACATTTTCCCGAAATGAAATCACTGGAACAAACTCTTCCAACAGTTCAACAACCTCAAACACAACAACCAGGCATTCATCGTTTAAATCCCGAAACTGCGCCTTTTGTTCCAAGACAACAAAACTTGCCGTCTCAACATGAAATTGTCCAACAACATCCACAACATGTACCACAACAACACTTTTACTATCATCATCTTCAACAATTTCCACAACAACAGTACTACTATTATCCACAACAGCTTCCTCAACAGACTGTATATCCAACACAACACTTCCCTCATGTTGTTCATCCTCAACAATTAGCACAACAACAATATGAACAACTTGGAGCTCGACCTAGAGTTGTTCAATATACACAACAACAACACGTTGTTGAACATCATCTTCCACCACACATTCCACAACAAGTACCACAATTGCACCCTGCACAAAGCGAAATGACTCCAATTCCGTTCAGACCAAAAATCGTTTTATTTGAAAAGTATTATTTTTGTGACAGTTATAAACCCCAAGATATCAAAGTCAACAATTTTGCGATTGTAAGATTTTGGCCAGGTGAAGTTTGCCGAACAAAGTGGTGTGCAATTCCAAAGAAAACACCCAGTGTTCGAGAAGAGTTTTTGCTACATGGATTTTGGCCTCAAATTCGAATTAATCGCAATCTCATTTGTTGTGAATTTAAGCTTCCTATTTCAAAGACTGAAAAATTGATTTTAAATAACGAGGAATTAACAACTTTAATATATGCAAATTGGATTTCTGTTGAAAAATGTGGACTTTCAGTGTACCAATTTGATAAACATGGAACTTGTGGGATGTTAAATTACGACAATAAAAATGCTATATTTGAATATATTAATACCGCTATAAAACTGTATAGAAAATATGATGTTTGGAAAATATTAAAAGAGAGTGAATTAAAAGTAGAACCCAACAAAATGTACAACATTGAAGACATCAAAAGAGTTGTTGAAAATGCATGTGGCGCTGAACCCGTTTTTACGTGTTCAAGTAAATATTCAGTACATGAAATGAAATTGTGTTATGATATGAGGACTAACAGACTGAATCCACACCCAGTGAAATGTCTGGATAAGAACTATCGCGAAGAAAGAAGACGTTGTGGGAACCAAATCATGTTTGCTCCATTCCCAGAGTACTTGTTAGATCCAGAAACAGCTCCAAGAAATAACTGCATATATTAAATTGTTTTTTATTATTGATTTGAAACGTTTAAAATGTTGAAAATGTTCATTGAACTAAAATGTATGAATGTATTTATATATCATCTATTTAGTTTATTCAATAGTTTATTAATAATTTATTTAAAACATGAAACTATAATTGTTAATATTATATTTATAGTTTGTTTTATCAAGCAAGACTTATTTCCATCAACTCAATTCAAATGATATTAAAACAATAAAACAAGAAAAAATACATTAACTGCTTCTCCCCACGTTTTTAGTCAGAACAACTTTATCCAAATTCGAGTAACTGATATAAGAAATATTTTCGCGATTTCCCAATTTAATTGGCAAAGAAATTGAACGCAAAGACTCACACCCATTAAAACACATTTCTCCAATATCAGACACTCCGCTTGGGATATTGACAAGTGCGAGGGAACTGCACCTATAAAAGCAGCCATATCCAAAAGTGTTCACACTTCCATTGATTGTTATCGACGTCAAATTACCACAATCGAAGAACGCGCAGTTTTTAATGCAAGATTCGCAATACGGTATTTTGACTGATTTAAGGGAGTGGCAGTACCCAAAGCAATACTCTCCAATCGACTTCAGTCGCGACTCAAACGAAATGTTCTGCAGATTATAACACGCGTAGAAACAGTTATCGGGGAGCTCCGAAATCGAGTTTGAAAAGTTGATAGTCGCGAGTGTATTGCAATAACCAAAACAGTACTCTCCTATTGCCGTGACAGACTGCGGGACTACAATATCTCTGAGGGACTCACAATAGTAAAAACAGTACTTCCCAATCTCTTTCAGCGTTTTTGGAAGCGTGACAGACGCCAACCCCCCACATAAATTAAAACAGAAATTCCCAAGTGAAGTCACTGAGTCCGGAATTTGTAAGGAAACTACATTGGAGGACTCAAAACAGTTATTTCCAAGTCGATTAATAGTGTTTGGAATTATTGGTCCATATTTTTCTCTATCTTCTTTTGTATAAGTCACACTTTTGAATGTAAAATTTGAGTCTCTGTGCGTTTGAGTAAAAGTGTAGTCGACGTTGAACCAAACGTTGATTCGATAGAAGTCTATTTTTAATTCTGTTTTGGTTTTAATTGTGTTGAAAATGTCGTTTCCAAAAAATTCGTCGTCATAGGACCAAATGTTGAGTGTTTCTATTTTTGGGAAGTATTTTATGGTTTTTAAAGTGAGGGGAATTGGGTTGGCGTGATACCTCTCCATGTTATTTAAATACCTTTTGCAGACGAACTCAATTGAAATGAAGTCTTGTATTGTTGAAAAGTATTGGGAAACAACCATTAAATGATAACCGTCTAATTGACTCATTTTGATTTTTTTGAGTTTTAAAACGACAAGTATTTATGGTAATAATTCTTTGTTTTTTCCGTTTTTATAAAATTGTTTTTCTAAAATTGTAAAAAATGAACTCTGGGTAAATTTTTTCTTTTATATAAACATTTTATCTTATAAATTCGTAAATATTTTATTATATTGTCGTATTCGTAACTTATGAAATACATCATTTGAATGTAATCAAAAGGTTTAGTGTATTAATAAAGTTTTTTTAAATCTCCTTTAAGTGTATTTATTATACATCTGATTTAATTTTTAAAACAAAAAATATGTTTCTTTGTAAAAATACATAATAAAAGAATTATTTAGAATGGGTGTAATAAAATTATTATTTTATTATAAAAGTATAAAATTTGTATTTAATAAATTTTTAATAATTAATATCAACTATATTTATATTACATGGAAAGTATTTACAATTCAAATACAATGATGTTTAATTATTGTTTATTGGCAAGATTGTTATAATATCGTTCAAAATAAAGATACTGAAATAAAATTACACTTAAATGTATTAAATTTATTTTACAACTTGTTATTATACGAATAATTATCAAATACCCATATTATAAAAATATGTTTTATAAATAACAACTTTATCTGATATGATTTAAACCATGGTGTAGTTTAATACTATAAAAATGTTTAAAAGACACTTAACTTTATTTAAAACAATTAAAAAAATCTAATTATTTTAAAATGTAAATTAATTTTTTTATTTTTAATCAAAAAAAACTTATATCACAATAACACATATATAGTTTATTTTTTTATAATAATTATTATCATTTAAAATATATGTTGGAGTCTGTCCATAATCTTTATTTATTCCATTAACCTTATTTATTATTTTTGGTTAATTATTAATGAAAATGTTCCCAATTTACGGTAAAAGATAAGCCCAAAAAAGGATATTAAAAATATAACTATTTAGAAACTAAATAACCAATAACACAACCAATAACATTAAAATGGTTTAGACCGTTTCACCAATCACTTCAAATTGTGTATAAATTGATAAAAAGGACAAAGTTGGCGACTGGAACAACGTTTTCCGACTAACTCTATATGCTTTTAAAAAAAATAAAGAAAAATGGTCCCGGCGGGGATCGAACCCGCGACCCTCGCATAACTCTATTCTATAAGTACGATGCACTACCGACTGTGCTACGGGGCCTTTTACATTAAGAGTTATAGATATTATTGATATTGGATTTTTTAATTTAAACAAAAATCATTCGATGAAATTTGGCTGTTTACACCTTAAATAACAATGAACAAAATTCAAGTGGTCTAAAAATCTGGGAAATCTTGACTTTATCAAATAAATTTCCGTTTTTAGAGTTTATATTATGTGCATAAACAATACACAAGCCAAAAAGAAAAATCATCAAAAATTGGATTATTATCACAGTAAAAACAGGCCAAAACAAAAACAAGGACGTTATTTTAAATGTTAAAATAAAATAACAAATAATTTAAACAACTTACTATGGAAAATACGTATAAATTGATTTATTTTTAAACTTAATAATAACATTTATTTATCTATCAAAATATTTTCACGAAGAACAAATTATTTCGATGTTATCTATTATTTTGAAATTAAAAACACATCTATAATTTAATTAGAATAAAAAGGCCAAGACCGCAACTAAGAGAAAAGATAATGTCATAGCAGAGTCTCTGATTGTGTAATATAATCCATCTTCATCTGTAAAGCATATTCCCAATCCCTTTTTCACGACATTAGAAGGGGTTCCATCACATATCTCAGATTCATCATAAATGTTTTTAATAAACCACCCATCTACAAATTCTGATTTTGATGAAGTTGTCTCTGAAGTTTTTACACAACCAGGTTTTATAAACATTTCCATTGGATATGGTCCACTTCCTTTGATGGCGCAGTGTTCTGCATCGAGGTATGAATAAACAACTGCTGAGTATTCTGGGAGGTTTTTGACAAAGAATTGATTGTTATCAAGCTCAAAAACACCTTGATCATCCCAATTGTCACAATTGTTTGATGAATAACGTCTGGTTTTTTTGCCATCTTTGACATATTTAGTATAAGTGTTGCTTCCAGTGTAATAACATTTATCGAGTTGATAGACAGTCATATATTCGTTGTAAGTGGTCATAATATATTCAGCATGAGCTACAAACACAATAAGAAAGATGGAAATCATTTGATGTCTAATACTTTAATTATTCGAGTTTAAATAATAAAGGAATATTTTCATTAAGTATATTTATCTAATTTTTAATGTATTTTGATTTGTCATTAACATAATTCATGTTCTATGTTATAAAAAAGTATGTTTTAAAAAGTCAATTGTTATAAATTAAACGGAATAATAATATCGATAAGTTGAAATTAAGTTATAACATTTATAATCCTCATTCTCGTCCAAAATACAGTATTTATTTAAATAAGCTTTTAAGTTTAAGGTATTTTGTCGAAAGTAATAATTTGGATTTTATAAATTGATATAACTGTTTATTAAAAATAATCTTGGTCTTTGGATTTTTGATAAATAAATTGTTATAATACTTAAGAAACGATTATATAATAAAATAAATCATTTTTGTTTAAAAAACTGAATGATTGTTTTATTATTTTTATTTAACGGATTGATAAAAATATACGATACAATAACAAGAAATAAGATTATTTTCAAAATATAAATCAAATAATCCCTTTATATATCAAACTTAAATATCAGAAAGAAACAATTTCTATTGAATTTATTGTATTAATATTTTAATTTTAAAGTTGTGTTTATATTGATTTGTGTTGTAATAGATTTCATTGTCAAACCTAAAAAATCAATTATTTTATAGTTGAGAACCATTTTAAATATAAAACAGTAAACAAAAAAAACTTTTATTGATAAATTTCTTTTTTTATTATGTCGAGAATGCCATAATTGTTCTCAATGATATCTATACTGAACACTTTAATTTTAATGAGTTCTTTGCATTTATAAAACGCATTTTCTTTCAACACTTTCACACTTTTTGGTATTGTAATATCTCTTAATATTTCATTATTTGCAAATGCCATATCTTCAATAATCTCGAGGCTTTCTGGCAATGTGATTATTCTAATATTGTTATTCATAAACGCAAAAGACGATATTTTAGTCACCCCAAATGGCAACGTCAATAAGTGTAAGTTGCAATTATAACACATTGATTGTGGTATATTCCATACAGTCTGTGGGAATGAGATGTGACGTAATCTTGTTGAATTCTCAAAAGCATTATCTTTGATTTTAATAACTGTTGGTGGTATAACTACGTCTGTTATTGGCGCATTTTTAAAACACCTTTCTCCAATCACTCGAATATTTGGGCTAATAACTTCACTGTTCAAATCATTAAAATTAACAAGCACTAAGTTCTTGAAAGAAACTTTGTCGAGAAACACCTCTGAAGACTCGGTATACTTCTTATAAGAAACTTCGTACCAAACATTCACTTTGAAAAACAGTTTTTTGATATTTTGAGGATATGTTGTGTTAGAAGTCAAAACTTCATATCCAAAGTCGTCGTCTGTCTCATTATAAAGATTTAAAGTTTCAACGTTTGGAAAATATTTTAAATTTTTATTTGTTAGTGAAATTGGGTTCGAGTGGAACTTTTCAGTGTTTTTAAAATACTTTTTGTTTAACATTTCGACTTTAACAAAGTCTTCAAATGAATTAAAATATTTTGATACAATCATCATGTGATATCCGTCAATTCTTGCCATACTTTAATCTTGTGTAATTAACAGTTTTGGTTTACACTTTATAAACAATTAAAAAGATTGAGTTTTGACTTTTAGTTATTTAAATAAATTATATTAAAAACAAATAAATAAAAGTGGAGTCTTTTTAAAGTATTTAGTTTTGTTAAATAAAACATTTTTATTAATCCAATATTCAATCTTATTGATATATCTTATCAATTATTTTATTTGGTACTACACTAATTTAATTTAAAAAGTATATTATTTTTTGAATTTAATTTGGAATATTAAATAACACATCACAGAGACCAATCGAAGTACACATCTCTTCCCTTGTTTACTCTCTTTTGAATAAATTTAAGTTATTTTTGGCAAATAAACAGCAAATTTGGTAATCAACATTCGGTCTTGGTAAAAGACCTTTTCGAGTGTTTTCACATTCATTTTACTGTCAAAGAAAAACTCGTTGAATATGTTCCAATAATACTTTGCAACACAATGCAGTGTTTCAGAAAGAAAAATACTGTAATTATCAAACATTACATTCACAAAAGACTCTATGTATATGTACAAGAAGACTTGTACATACACGTCTTCTTTTAAACTCCAACGTAATTCAAAGAGGTTTCTACACATCTTATGTGACGACTTTAAGTATTCCTTTATTAAAAAGTGATGTTCAATCAGATAGAAGAACTTCGGGTAGTATTTTTTGTCAACTTTTTGGAGAATAAAATTTTCAGTAAAACATTTCATGTAGAAATAGACGCATCGGACTACTAAAACATGTTCCATGCATTCACAGAGATTGTGAACTTTTTCTTCAACAGACGATGTCACAGATGTTTTGTATAATTCAGCAAACTCGTCTGACCCAATACTTTCTAATTTAGAAATTATACTCTTTGGTATACTTTGTTGAGACGATTGGTATCGACGAATGCGTTTTGGAAGTGCAAGTGACTGTAATGGGACATCGAGATAATTGAGGTCTACAGTGTCTATTGTAAAGTTTTTTTTATAAACCATTGGAGATCATATGATAAATAAAAGAGAATTCGACGTGTAAAAAATTGACTGTAAATTGACACTTCTTGTTAATTAAAATGAAGTTGAAAAATGAGTCAGCAGTTTTAAGATATAACGTGACGTTCATTAGAAAATGAATTAAATATTATAGTTTTTTAAATGATTACTAATTTTATAATTATAATAATACCATTGTTTCTATTAGAATTTAATAATGAAATTATTATAATCAAACAAACTGTTTTATTCTTTACTTAATAGTTTAAATAAACGATAATATAGTAAACAATTAATTAAAAAAAATAAAAAAATAACCATCATTCTTAAAATCAAAAGAAACTATAAAGTATAATTATAAGAATGAAATAACTTAAAAAAAGAAAAGAACTATAATTTATCATTATGTTTATATTCGAAACATTTGATTCAATAATAAAAAAGAACTTTGACATTGAAAACACAAAAGTTCATTTTATCTCCGTGCAACACTCTTCTCAATCTTATGTGAAACCCGAATTGAATGAATTTTCAATCATTACCGTCTCTCTTTCTGGTCATATCAAAGAGAACAAATTCCACACAATATTAGGGCAAAAGAACACTGCGCCACGACAGTGTGAAATCAACGGAATAACTTATTCTGACGCATTCCCATCACCTCAAGAAGCACTTGAACGCTTCCACCATTACTTCAATGCTAACAAAAATATGGGAGTTCAAATATTTGTCTTTCAACGATATGACAAAGGGTATGATCCGATGTTAGATCGAGTTATTGTGTCCCTTTTGAGAGGTATTGACAAGGACAATTCGTCGATGGCAAAAGTGTTTAACGATTATACTTATATAACACTCGGCAAATTGCTTGACACTCTTTTGAAGAAATTTGACATCAATTATAATAGAAAAGAACTTGAGAAAGACATCGACAAGTTGTTCAAAATTCGGAAATTGGACGAACGATGCGACTACCACAAAACAGTTGAAAGTCGTTTTGCGTGTTCGAGAGAAGAGACGGAAAGTATGATCAACACCTTTTATGCCATTTTACTCCGCTTCAACGTCCCCATCCAAAAATTTCACTATGAAATTCCTCAAGTGATTTCTAATGCAATTTTTGAGAAGAAAAAAGCGCCGTTTTCATTTGAAAATAACTTCGTTGTGATGTTCACAAATTTCATTGGAACTCAAGACAAAGTCTTTGAACTGCTTTTGTGCGACATATCTGTAAAGAGAAATGAAGCGAGTGGGATGGTCGAATTTATTTCTAATAAAAATGAATGTTTTGAACATGTTCTCCCAAGTGGAGTGAGCGATTCAAGCAGTTCTATTGAACTGTTTCTTGTACTCTTAGACTACTATGAAGACCAAGAAGAGTCTAAAAATAAATTTGCGAAGACCGAAATAGAAAAGTTTTGTAAAAATCATTGTGAAGAGTATTTTGTCACTTTTGACTGCGATTTGAAAGATTTAAAAAATTTGGGAGTCGATGGGAATTATTTGAATTTTTTGAATAAAAACGAATTTTTTCAATGTTTTTGCAAAGAATTTGGCCACATTGAAAATTTTGAACCAAAAAAGTTTTGCACTTTGTTTGAATCATTTCATAATGTGAAAACGAGTGATAATTGTTGTTTTGTACATAAACAATGCGAGAAAAGTCTTGAGTGCGTGCATTACAGATCTGAGTATTTTATATTTGTGTTGAATAAACTTGTAAATACTCCTACAGAAATCCAAAAGTATTTAAATATAGAAACACAAGAAAGTCGAAAGGAAATAGAAGCAAAAAAAGAGCAAAGTGGATATACAAAAGAAATGCAAATTAAAGAAAGGAAAGAGACGACTATTTTTATTCCAAAAGCAAAAAGACAGGCGGCAGAAAAGACTGAAAAGACTGACGACCAAAATAGTGGGGCTAAAAATGAGAAGAAAAAACAAAAAATTGTGCTTGTTATTCCACACAGGGAAAAAGATTATCCAGACCAAGAAAGTAATGCCGCATATTTTGGATTTTAAAATTAGATAGTATTCACTTATTTAAAATTTATAAGAAAGGTGTAGGGGCAGACCTTTCCCACCCTCACCCCGTCTAAATATAGAATTAATTTACTATATTTTATAATTTTTTAATTATAATTATAGTAAATGGGCGTTTTGGATAATATTAGGTCTGGTTCCCGAATTCAAGAAATGCCGAAAAATCACCTCGAGTCAGTGGAAACCGAGTGAGACGGAGCATTGAAAAGAAGGCTCATAAAGACGCACTCAAACAGTCTGTTTGTGCACCGTTTCACCCACTTTCCAAGTCCTCCCTTGGCGCGGATCCCCCCTGACCCCCCCGCAAGCGGGGGGAACCACATCCGCGTCCACACAGTACGGACAAGGAAAGTGGGCGACATGGGGACGCACAAACAGTGGCTGAAAAGTGGATTCCTTCAAAAAATACTCGCGGCAAATATTTTATTTTGGTAAACGGGGTGAGGGTGGGAAAGGTCTGCCCCGAAAGTGTATTAGATTATAATATTCAATTTAAATTAGAGTAAATAAATTAATATTTAACACTTAAAATAACACGAATTAATTTGGTTAACTTGTTATTTCAAATTTAAAGACAATTTATTGTGTTTTTTTGTTTGTGTAATGTTATGCATATTATCAAATTTTTAAAATGGGTATTTAATAAACTTGAGATTTGGTGTTTTTTAGTTCGATTGAATTCGATGTAATGCTATTAAAATTGTTAATTAATTTTTTTAATATTTAAATTGTTAATTTAATATGATAAAAATTTTATTTAATTGTATTATAAATAACATTACATAACAAAACAACAACAATGATAATGGATTACATTAACACAACAACTAGTCCAATCAAGATAAAAATTGTCATGGACAAAGCACCATCAAGATTTGAAATTTCTGGATTTTCTGTTGGTGTTATGGAAGTGACTAATCCTTCGGGTTTAACTGGTTCAGCTGGTTTATCTGATTCTGATGGTTATGTGGAAGTCACTAATGGATCTATTGGTTTTGAAGGTTCCACTGGCTTTTCTGGCTCTAATGGTTTTTCTGGTGTTTCTGGTTGTGATGGTTCGACTGGCTTAGAAGGTTCAACAGGATCGACTGCGGCTCTTGTTTTGTAGCATTGACCAGGTTTTGTGACAATTTCACAGTTGTCAACATCATAAGTGTCCAACTCGATTTTAACCCAGTGATTTTTAACAAGTGTGCATTTTTTGTTTTCTTTTGAGAACAACACTTTAGCTGTTGAGTCTGTTGGAAGTTTGTCTAGCCACTCACCTGTAATGTGGTTTTTGTCAGTTTGATTGATTCTGAACCCAAAGTTGTAAACATCGTTAACACCACCCAAGATGTAACTGAAGCTAAGTTCTTTTTGTGTTGAGAGAATGTAAGATGGAATGTAATTGCCAGCTGGGCAATTGGCTTCAGTAGTATCAACTACGTATTTTCCCATGATTGGATTGTCAAGGGGAATCACCATGTATGCGAGATATGAACTACCAGCTATTCCAAACCCGTTGCAAATGCCACACTGTTTGTAATACTTATTTGCATCCATGTATGTTTTTCTGTACCCATTACAATTTGAATTGTCAAAAATGCTCAACCGAGTATTTTCAATTTTGACAGAGACACCAGTTGTGATTGTGTAACACTTGTTGCCTATGTTGTTTGGAACATCGACTTCGTAATTAAAAGAAGTGCCAAAATGCGTGTCAATACCAACAAAAACATGCCAGAATGGGACTGGGTACTGTAAGTCGACTGGATAAGCTGCGAGTGATACTGTGATAAACAGGAAGACAGAGAACATTGAATGAATCACAGAATTTTATTTTTCTTTTTATACTAATTATTTGGACATTTGAAAAATGAATGAAGACAAAACAGTCCATTTTTAGAACAAATACTAAAATAGCAAATAAATCTTGACATATTATGTACAATGGTTTTGGCACTGTCTGGTCTTTTTGATCTTAATTTAAATTATTCGTTTATTATTTTTATACATTGTGAAATGAAAACAAACTTAACTCTTAATGCATTAATTATAATTAAATATTTTATTATAATTTTATTTATAGATTGTATAAATTAAATAATATAAAAAATAAAAATGTCTATTTATATATAGAATTGGTAAAAATAACATATATACACAAAGTTTGTATTATTTCCAAAACGAAAACCACCTGGGTATATTTGAAATATTATCATATTAAAATTATAACAGAAATAAAAATATCTATGATGTTACTTTTATTAACAGTTAAATTAATTGAATTTTTCCAATTAAACAATTCTGATTAAAAAAATGAAAAAAAAACAAAACAGGTTTTGAATATATTTTTACATTTGCTCATAGTTAGAAAATAACTGAATCGTACAAAATTCACAACAGTACTCACTATCTTTCTTATGACGTTTTTAAAGTACTTGACATTATCACTGATATACAATTTCTATTTTTTGGAATTATTTTTCTTGCTATTTTTCTTTTTGTTAAACATTTTAAAACGCTCAATTCGTCAAACACTTTAATTCTTGCATTCTTCTTATTTGAAGTCTTTTCGTTTTCTTTTCAGTCTTTTGTATTACGAAAAGTTGATACGTTTGGGAAGACACAATGGAAGGTGTTTTTGTATATAACGAAAATTATTGAAACACTCTTCTTTTACATCACAACAATTTTGGTCGGCAGTGGCTGGAACAAAACTATTCCCTTTGACTCAACGAACGAAAGATTTTACTTTTCTTTATTAATATTCAAATCATTTCAAACACTATTTCAATCATTGCCAACGAAAACGAAATGTATCGAAACCAATTGATTACCATTTTAAGGGCAATTGATCTTTTCTGTTCTTGTGCGGTGTTATTTCCGCTTCTCAAAAATATCAGAGTTCTCCAACACAGTTCTCAAAACGACACAAAAACTACAAAAATGTATACCACATTTGTCTTGTGTTATTTAGTTTTGTTAATTATCTCAAACTTAAAGAATCTTTTAAGTTTTCTTATTGATAAAATTAATTCACTCAAACTCATTATTTGCTGCCGAATTGTAGATTTCCTCCTTTTCCCATTGTATTCCATATATATGCTTCTTCTATTTAGACCAACGCCAAAACTAAAATTTTTACAAAACTCTCCAAACGGTCTCAGTGTATATTCCAAAGATGAAGTTTATGAAGAAGACCCTCAAATCGTTGTGAATTGATTTTAAATTTGATTAACTTTTTACAATTTTTATTATTTCTCTTTATAACGGACGTTTTTTGGTATACTAATAAATAAAAGACGTTATAAATACGACTATTAGTCGAAAAATGAAGAACTTTAAAAATGTATTTGAAAGGATGTATCAGTGCAAAAAGTGTAAAACAGAGATATTTTTAAATGAACATACCATCTCACAGAATCCATTAAGTTTTTCCGATTGTGTTAATACAAATATAAAAGAGGGACATCGTGCGGCATTACCAGTCCTTGAGATACAATGTAAGATGTGTCACAGTGTTGTGGGTATTGTCCACACAAACCCTATGCTATTTTGTGCAGACGAAGATGCTGTTGTACTCCCAACAGCACTTCCAACTAATAATTTTGAAGTAAAAGATGTGAAAGAAGAACCAATGGAATGTGGCTCAAAGTCACAACACACCTCAAATGTCGTGACTGCAGTCCTTTATTTCGGAAGTATTTTCGTTCCAGTCGTCACTGCTCTTCTCGCTGCAAATTGATTGTTTTTGTCTTGTTCTCAAATATTCGATTTTTTCAATTATTGTCAAAAATTGATTTTTTCAATTTTTTATTTCGATTTTTTCAATTTTTGTTTAACAAAAATAAAAACCATTTTTATGGAATTGAAATATTATATAAATTCTAGTAAATTAAATAGTAAAATTATCTATAAAATAAACTATATAAAGCCTATATAAGTCAAGCCTCAAAACTTCAAAAACAGATGTCGAAAGCCAATTACCAAGTTGTACGGTTTAAACACGAGAAGTTAGTTTTTGAAGCCTTATTTAAGCCTGGCTGTGCTTTAAAAGTCCAGTAGGAAAGTTGAGTCTTTCTAATGCGACATTTTCGGATGAGATCTATATGGCGCCCCACCAGAAGGGAACCCTATCGAAACCTACGGACCTTGCAAAGGCCTTTCCGGGCTTAAAGGGAACGGAAGCGATACTTCAGTTCATGGCGGAGAAAGGTGAAATCCAATTTACAACAGAAGAACGCAAACAACAGACTGAAGAGAAGAAGAAGAGACTTATAGAGTACGTCCACATGTATTACGTTGACCCAACAACAGACAAACCGCATCCCGTTGTACGTATTAATAACGCGTTTGAAGCTATGCACCTTGCAATTGACCCGGACGCGCCAATGGAAAAGGAGATCAAAGAAATTGAAAAGAAGATCAATGCGGTCTTACCCATGAAGAGAGTTGAGATGGAAATAGTGGTTACCATCCCAGAAAATTACTGTAAAGTGGCCGACCCAGTCTTAAAAAAGTCTGGGAAAGTGGCCGGAATGAATGAGGGCGGAAGTGATCGTGTCTATCGAGTCACAATCGTCCCTGGTGACTTCGACACAATCAACAAGGAACTCGCTAAAGTGACTCGATCAAATTACCAAATCGACACCCCAGACGGTCACAAAGTGCAGAAGGATAGCAAGAAGGGTGGGAAGAACAAATAGATGGTAAATGAATGGCTCTTTTGAATATGAAAGACAAATTCTAGTTTAAAGTTTAAATTTACTATAAATATAGTATCATATTTGATTCTAAATAATAATTATAAACAATTAGTTAAGTGTATATCAATGTATTTATCTATTATAGTTTCTCTAACTTTTCAACAACATCCTCGATGGGCGGTCGGTCTGCAGGTTGTTGTTTCCAACACTCTGTGATAATCTCAAATTGATTATCAGTGACAAAACCTGGCTTTTGTCGTCGTTTTCCAGAGGCCACAAAATCAACTATATTCCATGAGTATTGGAATTCACTTTTTGGGAACGCAACACCCCAAATAAAGCATTCATACATTGTGATGGCAAAAGAATAGATATCTGCAGGTCTTTTGTACTTCATTCTGTCGAGTGTTTCAGGCGCCATATATTTTGGTGTTCCAACCCCTTTTGTGAAAGTCATGTTAGTCATCAATAAATTGACGTTTCGACTTGAACCAAAATCAGTCAATTTAGCATTTACTTTTACGTTCAAATCAAGTGAAAAGATTAGAATGTTGTCTGGTTTGATGTCTCTGTGTAAGATCCCATTTTCATGTAAATAGAATATGGCTTTAGATGCGTCTAACATGTATTTAATACGTACGTTCATCTCAATTTCTTCACTCTTTTTGTGATTCATTAAGTCTTGTAAACTTCCAAAGTCCGCAAATTCAGTGACAAGACATATTCTCTTTGGCACAAATACTGCACCATAGAAATGGACGATATAATCACTTCTGAACTTTTCTAGCATCTTCACTTCTTTTTCAAATTCTTCAATTTGTTGTCTTGTACATCCTTCATTCTTCATCTTTTTAATAGCAACAATATTCCTCCTATAAGTCCCTTTGTAGACAACTCCAAATGATCCTTCGCCAATTTTCTTTTCTTCTACAACTTCTTCATAATCAAGTCGTGATGAAATGACTGTTTGAAATCGTATTGGAATTTCATTCATCTCAGGAGTACCTTTCTTCATGTTAACGGATACTAAAACCAATTTGTCTGTTACAGTACATGTACAAAGTGGAGTCACAAAAATTTCAAATTCAGCTGCTTTACCAGATGGAATTACAAATAACTCAGGCGTGGTTCGAATGGTGTATTTGTCACTCTTCTCTTTGAAACTGAATTGTACTTTAATGGCAGTCTTATCACCATTTCCAATACATATCAATTCGCGACTTTCTTCTGTGACTGGAATCTCAATTTTGTCGTCTCCTAAAAGTTCAATTTGGTGCTTATTTACCATAACACGAGAAGTGCCGAGTTTCATAAAACTGATGTTTGATTTGTTCATATCAAAGATAGCTGTTTTCTCGCGCTGTTCTTCAAGTTTCATATATTGCATAATATACTTCACAGAGAAACAAATGATGAGAGTTACTATAATCACTACTATAATGACAAAAAGTACCCATATTAATATAAACCACCAAACTGCATGTGTATCACAATGATCTCCATCTTCACTTGGAATGTACCAAAAAGAACATTTGGAGCATTTGGAATTATGTTCTTTTTTACAATGTTCAATTGTTGAAAATAAAACACAAGACTGTCCTGATAAAATGTAGTTGGATACACATGAAGTGCATTGACCACTGTGTGTATTACAATTTACACAAAAAGGTGTTATTGAGTCACAGGAAGTACAAAATTGTTTATCAACAAAAAAGCCATCATTACACGTGTCACACCCATTTGGCAACACTTTTTTACAATTGATATTTTCAGAATTAGGAACACATCTTGTCGAATTAGTTAACAAGAAATACTCTGATGCACATCCTAAACACGTTGAATTGGTGTTACAAAATTGACAATTGGAAATACATGGTTTACAAATGACATTATCTCTATAATACCCATCCATACATACGGCACAGCCACTTGAAGATGTTCCTGGAATTGCATTTTTACAGTTTTCTGTTGTTTCTTTTGAATCAAGACATATAGTTGTGTATTCTTTAAAAGCATACCCACCTTTACACAATTTACAAACCAAAGTTAAATCATTTTGTTTAACAGAAGCGTCATCCAATTTAAAAGAGCGCGTACTCGATACACTTTCTAAAGAACAAACACTACAATTATTGCCACAACTCATACACGTCTTTTGGCTGTTTAAATAAAACCCATTTGGACAACTTAAACAGAAGTTGTTTGTTGTACTAATAATTTCACAATTCTTATTGATAGTAGAGTGACACTCGCCGTCGTACAAATAACTATTTTCTGAACATTCTACACATTTATTAAATTCACATTTTGTACAATTCACACTTTTATCACATAATACACATTTAGCACCATTAAAGTACCGTGTGTTCAATTCAGCTTGACATCTGACACACATACCATTTTCAATAATCTCACACCCACTGTTTAATGTACAAAAGCCATTTAAATCTAAAACACCTTTTGTGCATTTTGAACATCTTTTTGAATTACACGTTTCACAATTTTCACCATACGTTTCTGAACATTTAGTACACTTTGTTTCTTTATTTTGAATTATATTCACGTAATACCCCTTTTCACATGTTACGAAATCTTGTGAATATACAGTGCCTTCTTTGTATGGTATACATTTCCCGTTTTCTAAATAATATTTGGTGTTACATATAACACACCTCATGCCATTTTCAACACATACATCACAATTATTATCGATACACTTTTCACAACTCGTTACAGTAGAGTAATATCCACTATGACATAATATTGTATAATTCAATGAGAATAGTTTAGTGTTAGTGTTGTCATACGTTTCACATTTTCCATTTTTCAAATAATAACCATTTTTACATTCGATACATGTAAATGAATTTCGTAAGGTATTTGACACGCACCGATTACAATTGGAACCACAACTGTTACACGAATATATCAAATTGCCATATCCAATTTTACAATCTTCACACCCAAAATTTTTATTCAAATTTTTACAATTTGAAACAGAAGACACATCATAACATGTATTTCCAAATAATTTCCCGGTTTTGCATTGAATGCACTTTTTATTTTCGTTAAAATAAAATGCGTCACACATTCCATCATTTTTAATGTAAATTTGTGTATCGCTTGATTCTGTAATTCCCAATTTTTGTGTTATAACAACACAATCTCCACTCGCTGTAATTTTAAAAGAAGTACTTGTATCATTTATCGATATAACATTTTTATTGGTATTTGTGAATATAGCTACATAATTACTTTTTTCACTTCTCAAAACAAAAGTTCCAACTGGTGTGTTTATTGTTGAAGAAGCCATCAAAATAATTTCATCAACACTTTTAGTCATTTTTAGTATTGCTCCACTCGACGTCACATAAATCGAACTTTTCACACCTTCATTGTTTTTACTTGGAGGGCAGCTGTAATCAACTAAAGAAGGAAAATTCCTTTGATAGAATACATTTGAGTAGTAACATACATGTTCTCCACATCCATATTTTTGGCAATCTGAATATTGCGAATTTCCCATGAAAATTACTTGTCCGTCGCATTTCAGATTCTTATTAATAACTGTTCTATTATAAGTGAACATGACAGGATACACATAATTCAATACATCATTATAATCACTTACATCAACACTGAGTTGCATTTGACTTGGTTTGGTAATAAAAAGTGGAGTTCCTTTTGCGCTAATTTGATTAGTGGATATGATTTCTTTAATATTGAAATTGTTTACTGTGTCTTCAACAACAGATGTTACTGTATCTTTTGCAATTCTCAATGAATCGATTGTAAATTGTTGATTTGTGAAATGAACTTCAGCAAAAAGAGCACATTTCAGCATGTTGGTTCCGTCAACAACAAATGGTGAGTCAAATTTTAATACTTGAGTAGAATCATATTTTGTGAGTTTACCAAATTCAACATGAACAGATTTATACAAGTGAATAACATTATTCATTCCATATTCTGTTTTGAGAAAATTGATATTATTCACATTTATAATATTTGGTTCTACTGAAGAAGAGTGATATTTCATCATTAGAGTTCCTTGAAGTTGTACGTTTTGTAAATTAAAAACATCACCAGAAAATTGCACAACGCAATTTGATTGTGTACAAGGGCAATGAGGGTATTTATAATCGGAAGTTATTGATGTTGCAATTGGTGATGCTTTTTCAATGCACGCAATTGTTGAATTTTCATTGTTGGTTGGGCATATTCTAAGTAATCTTTGTGAGAGTAAATCAGTCATAACTTTGTAATTTGAATTATTAATTGTAACACTTGAGTATTCTGTAATTGAAGTTTTGGATGAAACGATATCAATACAAGTTATCACGGAGGAGCCAATTTCAATATTTTTAATAGCCAAAGTACCGTTCTTAATAACAAATAGAATGTTTGTATTCATATTGTTTTGTATATCAATTTTTAAAGTTGTTATGTCCATATTCATCGTGACATTATATGTTTTAGTTGTAGTAATTTCATAGTTTTCAATAATAATCTCTGTGTTCAAAATTAAATCTCCAAAAGTGTTGTCAACAACTATTTTCTTGATATCAATAACTTTGGTAGAACTTAAATTACAACTCGTTGCCAAACAGTAAAGTTGATTCCAATACGACTCTCCACTGATTTTATAACTCCCTCCAAACGTTGAAGAGAATACCAGATCAAACAGAAAAGGGAGTGTATTGAGTCCACAAAATAAATTAGTTTTTCCATTATATGTATTGGCTGTTGTTACAGTCGAACTTCCATTTAAATAACATTTTTGACTTGTACTACAGTCCGAGTTGGAATGCATAACAGCATGTTCACATTTGGTTACACTTGTAATTGAATCAAAAGAACTGCTCTTTGTTTTGTAATAAAAAATGACATCATTTGTTAAATAATTAGTAGTATAACCAAAAGTGGGTGTAGTTTCAAAGTATATTGGTATTCTGTTTTGTGAATGTATCTGTTTTTCAATCTTGACAAGTCCATTTATATAACACCCTCCTTGTATGACAAAAAGTTTGTTTAAAGTTAATATAATATCAGTTCCAATAATTAATGATTGATATGATTTCATAAAAATTATTGTATTCCACATATTTAAATCACCAATTGTAGTTGTTGTATCCGTATATGTTGTGTATAAGTCAAGGTATGATGAATTGTAAATACAGTCTGGATAATTGAAAAGTGTCGTTTGCATCGCAACGTTGCCATTCAACATCTTGCAAGAACAATCGTTTGTGTATGTAACTGGTTGTTTTTGTAATACAAATCTGTTATAATTGTCACGTTTGCATATTGAAAGAACTCCATAGTTTGTTATAAGAAATTTAGAGTCTTGCAAATACACATTTTTGATTGTAACAGCATTACCAGAAAAGAGGTAAACGCATGTTTTATTTAAAAAATAATCGTCCAACATTGGAATTGAAGATATAAAGCCAATGATTGGATATACATCAAATACACTTGAAGTGAAGTCAATATTTACATATAAATTGTTAGTGTCATTGAACTTTGTTTTAAACACCAAGTACATTCTTTCATTGATCATCGATTTAATAAAGGTTGGTTTGTTATATAAAAAAACTCTAGCATTGATTGTTGTGTCTATTTGTGTAAACTCGGTGTTAATCCATTTAAAATCTAAAATAAGTTTGTCTATATTCAGATTGTGGACTGTGAATGGCTGCTTGGAGTTGTCAGTCTGTAATACAACTTTACTATAACTCCCTCCGTTAAATCGTACATCTGGAAGGCGAACTGTTGAATCGTTGTTTGGAGTGAATGTAATACTTGTTGCGCTTACAGAAAATATGTTCAAGATATAATTTCCGTTGGTATAAGAAATTATACTAAATCCATTCTGATTACCGTTATCACACCAATAAATATTTCCTTGATCTTCATAGGTGTTACAGTAAGTTGAGAAAGCACCAATAAAGAGAATCAGAAATACAACATTCATTTTCTTTTCAAGTTTATCCAAATAATAATAATATTTCATTATTTTAATATATTATTTTTCTTATATAATAACTTAATTGTTTTTTGTATATATTTTTGGACATTTGAAAATTCAAAATAAATTTTTAACGAAATAAAATTTTGTTTTTTATTATTTGAAATTTCGATTTACAAAAAGAAAAACAATCCCGAATTACCATTTTGTTTTTATATTACAATTTTAATTGCTGTAAAAACGGGAATGTTAACCTAATTCCTTAACAAGGCACTTATCTGCCCAATGTTCTTTGAAGTAGTAATTGTTTTTAGTTGGGAATTTAAAAATGAAACAAATGTTAATTGTTTTCCAAAATCCATAACATGACAAAAAAAATATTATAAATATTTTATAATTAAATTATATTATATAGTATAAAACAAATTGAATAAAATGAATAGTGACAATGAATTAAGGCTATGAATGTGAGATATATTTGATACTTTTAGAATAAAGCCATGGTTAGAAAAATGAACATAAAAAAGCTAATTCCCAAAATTGTTGTTTTTGAGTTAAAAAATGAAAATTTCAAGTAGTTATTCTTTTTTGGACAAGTAATGCTTGATTTTTTGAATGTCATTTGTGGAAAACCTTCGAGATTACATTAAATTGATTACAAACAAGGAAGCGTTATCTATCTATTCAACACTGGATAGATGTACTAAATTGTCTGAAATTGATAGGAAACATGATTGTATCTTCTTGTCGACTGAAATGAATATTATTAAAAAGGTTAATCAAATTACTTAATGATGAATATCTCCAGTCTGAAATAACACGTATAAAAATGACACAACAGAAGAAGTCGATTGGTTCATTTGAATGGGATGGTATGTAGTGAAGTGTATAAAATGTGGGTACTGGTTTTTAATGGAAAATGTCAATTTCTGTAACCCGACTGTACTTGACAAACTTAATTCACTCTTTGAACCAAATCGGTACTTAGTGTTAAATGAACGTGGTGCTGATAGTAATGGCAAAAGTATTATATCGAAGTCATACAAAAAGATTAGGAACGTCTATTCGAAGTATTTGGTCGTTGAACAGAACTATAATGAATTTTTGGAATTAGTTGATAAAACAATTTGTAATTTACACACTTCGGACGAACAAACACAATACCACGTTCTTTCGCTTCGAATGCTCTTTGCTGTTGTGGGAACAATTGAAAATTTACAATTTGAACGATATATTATCTTATGTGTGATGCTTAGAAGTTTACATCCGATATATCAAACACTTACAAACGACTTATTCCAAGAGCTTTTTTTATCAAAAGAAGTGTTGGATTATCTACCAATTTCGATACAATTTTACTTGCTTAAAGATATTAAGAACATTTCGTTTTCTTCAACAAATGATGTCACTGATATCATTCAATGAGTTATGAACAACATTCGGTAACTAATTAATGATATCAGTGACATCATTTGTAAAAAAAAAACAAAAGTGTGATATTCTGTCTCACTGAATTTGATCAGTCGTAAACTCAATGAATTTTACAACGAGATTATTCAAACGATTTGTAGTAACTCAGAGAAAGAGGAGAGTGCAAATTTGTTTAAATACAGTAGTTTCATATATTAAGCATTTTCTATTCCATGCATCGACCCAATGGAGTTCTCCAAAACATTTCATTTCTGTTTCAAATGAATGTATTAAAATAATTAGTAATCAAATAAAAAGTGACATAAATTTACAGAGTCACGTTTCGAAAAAAAAGTTTAAGCGGATACTGAACTTTTTGGAAATGTCGAGAAATACTGTTCGAAGTGGAATGAAAAAGTACGAAAAATTCAACAAGGAAAGAATTACAGAACAAAAGTATGAAAACTTGTATCAAGAATTTGTATTGTTTTCATCATCGAATGGAGACTACTTAAAGATCAAAAGACTGTATGATGATATTGAAAATGTCAATGAAGTTGCTCAACTCATTCGCATCATTACACAAGAAACAATGTGGCAAAAACAGACTAAATTATTTTTATGAACACATTCAGAAAAATTATCCCTTTTTGGATTTGACTATATCCGTCTTGTTTGGGCTTTATTAGGATTTTCTTCGAATTGGTTTGTATAAGAAGATAGTTCTGCACTTGCGAAATGAAAATACTGAACTGTTAATAAATTTTGTTATTACATTTTCAATGAATTCTAATATGATACAAGAACAAGTAAAATGCATTGGAGACTTCATTATCCAACACATTGAAGAGAATAAGAATGTCCAGAAGTGAATTAATCAAAATAGTGTTGGTCAATGTTATTCGAGAGATGTGGGGTGACAAAGCTGGTGCGATGAAAATGATCTCATTGTTGCTTCATTTGATGACTACACTAAAAAACGCGGAAGATGAAAAAAGAAAGATTATAGAGGAAGAACAAGTGACTTATAAATATACAACTAAAACGAATCAACTTGCTGTGGATGAAGATGAATATAAAGAAGAGTATAGAGCAATGTTTCCTGACTTCTTTGTTGATGTTCAAGACTTATTAAAAACACAGAGTCTTTCAATGTAAATAGAACGAAAATAAGAAGAAGGCAAGAGTCCGAATGAGTGATTCTGAAATTCAGTTTATTATGAAACTCATTTACAAGTAACTGAAAGCACAGAAATGCCAAGAAAACTTTGAGGAGATGTATGAGACGAGGAACAAAATAATTAAAAAAATTTTGGACGAGTTCTTCAACACAAGAGATCTGCCACTTCCAAAGGAATTTGATTGTACTAGTTCTCCATTCCGTAACATTTTCATAGACAAGAAAGTAGCTATTTTAAGTCAGACGAAGGCGGAGAGAACGATTGATTTGAACAAAGATTTGAGTGTTTATATAGTCAACGAATTGCTTAGAAAATTAGAACCGTTGTGCACACATGTCTTGAAGTTGTTAGAGGAATTCCCTGAGAATGAGGTGTTGGTGAAGATCATTTCTATTATAGAGAGACTGAAGAACTTCCCAAAAGACAGACCCTCTCATGAAATATTTGATAGTCCTCCATATCTTGTTTGGTGAGCTTCAAAATTGGGAGACGGTAGCTGCGAAGTATGTTTCATTACGAGAAGAAATGAATGTGGTTGCTACTATAATACAGAAGTGGAGATGTTGGCAGTTGAAGAGTTGGGATAAAATGACGGAGAGTCTGAATGAAGATCAACTGATTCAATCCCAGGCGTGGTTTGTTAATGTCTGGAAGATGGTAGATGAGATGGTGAACAATGAAGTCGACGAACAAATAGAATTGGGCTTTTTGGAGTCAATGAATCAATTTATGTATAAGTGCACGTATGGACAATTTGAAGAGAGACTTAAAGTACTTGGCATAGTTATTCAAATATGTGAATGCTCTGAAAGTCGAAATGCGTGATTTGGGAAGGTCAGGTGATGTTGACGCAAACTTGGGAATACTACAATGTCTTTGTATCGAGAATTAAAGAAGACATAGACAGAGAGACTAAACCTGTTGAGACTAAAATTAAGGAGTTTGTGAAACTGATAATATGGAATGATATTAACCATAAAAAGATCAAAGACCAAGTGGAGAAGTCGAACCGGAAATTGTATGGATTTAAAAAGGAGTACGATGACATTTTGAAGAAGAATGTACAATTTTTTGTTCAAAGTCAGACGTTTGCGAACACCACGAGCGCTACTGATAAAGCGTTGGGACCCATCTTTAAAGAAATTCATAAGAGTGAAAAGATAATAAAGACTGTGGATTCAAAGAAGAGAACAGACAATATCGGTTATTTCATTTATAGAATTGCTGTGTTGAAAGAGAATACTATTCGAGTGTGTGTTGAAGAGAAGATGAGTAAAGAGAAGTTGGGTGTTGTATGGCTTGAGGAAGTCAAAAAAGAGTTGATTGGCCGTGTTGTAGAATTTCAGAATTTAACAGGAAATGAAGGTGTGAAGACAAAGAAAAGAGCACTTTTGGACATTTTATTGTACTTCAACTTTTGTTAATGTGATAATTATTGTTCTTTTAAAAAGTTTCAAAAATTTGTGATACAAGGATGATGTCATTATATTTTTAATGATTATTATTACAGAACTTTGTAAGGTAACAGTTTGTTAAATTTTTATTTTTTATTTAAAAATAAGATTATTTGATTATTTTTTATATTATTTATTATCATTTTGGCATTATATTTTTCTTCACGATATTCATCATTCAAATTTGGTTGGTTTGCATGATCCAATAAATTAAATGATCTTTCACAACTGCAACTGTTAACTGGTATAATAATCATTTTTCAACACTATTCATCATATTAAGAAATCTTAATAAATTTTCTTTCTTCATTATTTCAAATATCATTTCAGTTGTTATATAAGTTTGTGGGCATATTTTTTTCGAAATATTTTAATTCTTTATTTTTCCACTCCCTAAACTTAATTCTATCTTTCAAACATACAAGTTGTTTTGGTATTTTTTTCATTAACGTTTATTACTTCATTTAATTGATCAGAATCGTCTCAATTCTAATATTTTTATTGAATTCTGTTTCTTTTTCATCATGATGATAAATTATATTACTGAAATTTCCACTTGAAGTTATGATATCCATTTTTCTTAACGTTTCTTTAATTCAAATTTTAGGAATTGGTTGTTCCTTTTTCTTTTTATTTAACATTTCTTCATTTTCATCCAAATAAACTGTTTTTCAAAACTCTGTACTGGGATGCCCCGATTTTTTAGACAAATAATTACTAAATAATTTTTCCTTTGCTTAACCCTCATTTTTTGTTATAAACATTTATTCGAAAAAAACAAAATAACGAACTGACTTTTTTAAATTTTACTTGACAAATAAATCTTCCACCAAAAAATTACTTGAAAAATATAAAAAACAAACTTGGGATCAAAAATTTGATTACCATAAACCAAATTTTGCCAAAAACATAAAACAAAACTTTATAATTCAATATCAATTTTTAAATAATCACCAAGTCGTGTTCTGGATAAAAATGAAAAGTACTAATGAGTAAAACAAGCATTGAGAGAAGATAAATAGGTTAAGGCTATACAATTGAAAAGTTTTTTTTTAATTTTTGAACTGTTTATTTTATTTTAGACTCTTTTTATTAATAACCTTGATTGTTTAAATGTTTGTTTTATGTTATCGATTACTTTTTTAATTGTTGAAATGAACAAAAACTTATTATTAATTTAAGTGTTGCATTATTTAATGCAATGATGTCTTTATTACATCGTTAGTTTATCGTTATATTATCGTTTATCTTATGTTTGTTAGAAATATACAATTATACTCACGTTTAGTCACAAAATAAACCACTGACCAAATAACAAACCTGGAAAATCGGGGAAGATTTACCCAATATTTGGGTGATTTCCCAATTGTTTGTTCAATAATTGAAATTGTATTGATTTTTAAGGGTTTTAAACTGTGTACCGTTGTTGGTTCAACAAAAAGGAAAATAAAAGATAAAACAAATAAAAAACAGTAAATAATGGGAAACTAGGACAAAGGGTTTATATAAATATTGGAAACGGTACAGAGTTTTGGAAAACAGTTTATTTCATAAATTTTTCAATCTCTTCTTTTTATTTATTTTCAAACAATTTAATATCAATATCATCTCTGTTATTTGGAAACATAAAAATTATCAAGTCTCTATACAAACTATTTGCATCCTTTTTTATTATCAAACTATTCTTGTTCAAACGTATTTTGGTCTTTATCTTTTTTTATAATTTTAATGTTCATGACAGTCTCAATTAGAGATAAAATACAGGTAGGAACCAATGTTGATATCTTTTTCATCTGAAACACCAATTTAAGACAATTTTTTATAATTAACATTTTGAAGTGGGTTGGTGAATCTTATGATAGATGATTAAATAAATTTAATTAATTACGACACACATACATTTTCAACTCCTTTATCTTTTTTATTAATTTTACGTACAAAAGAAAGGTCCTCAAATAGTTTGTTATCTTCGTCTGTAATATCATCTTTTAATTTGTACAGATATTGAATCATAAGTTTTATTCTTTCATTATCTACTGGAAATCTGAGCTCTGGAGACTGAAGCCAAGTTGAGACCAGTTCAATTTTTGATAATACATATTCCATAAATAATAGTCCACAAATAAACATTTCATTTGACAAATTGGCATTACCCAAGACATTACTTTTTTTTTCACTGCTTAAATCATCAAAATAATAATTATTATTTGCTATATATTTATAATAACATTCAAAACATTCAAATAATATTGATGCTACTCCTTCATTAAATATAAATTTTCTCTTATTGAATGTACACATTTTAATAATATATTTTCATTTTTTCATTAACTATAAAAGTGTGCCATCCATTTCTATATTTTTCTGTTGTTATTTGGAGTAGAAATAGTTCTATTAAATTCCATCATTTTGTTCACAAATTGATTTACAATCAATATTTAATCTCTAATTCATACAATACTTACTTTTAAACAAATACAATTTCCAATTATCAAAACTTTTCATAAACTTATCTCATAAACCATTTTCTTCTCCTTTAACAGTGTTGCTTCCATCAACAGTAACACCTTTAACATCTTTTAAACTTAAACCTCTTTTTTCTAATGTTTCATTTATCCATTCAAACCAACCTTTACTATCTTTTTTACCATAATAATTACTTATTCGTATTTCAATTTCTTTAGTTTCAAAATTTCCGATATAAAACCTTCCAAATAATGAATAATGTTCTACTGAATTTTGTGACTGTGAATCAGTTATTAAATAAAATAAATATTTTTTTTACCAAATTCTTTAATTTTATCTTTGGCAACATAATTTTTATATTTCATTTTATCTTGTATAGTTTTCGCAGACATATTAATATCCACGATGTTTTCTTTTATTCCGCATTATTCTAATACAATTTCTATCATTTCCAATATTTTTTTTATTTTGAAAGGCATTTTAATTAAATACGCAAAATATAATGCGAAAATAATTTTTAAATATTGCCGTTCAACTTTATTTGCTTTTTCACTTTTCGAAAAATTTTCTTTATCTTGTTTTATTTCATCTTGAATTTTGTATTTAATTTCACTTCCAGTATAACGTCCAGGATTCGAAAATTGTTGGGAATCTTTTCAAGTCGAAATTAAATATTCCATTATTTCTTTGAATTTAATTTGATGTTTCATTTGTAAGGGGGAGAGATCTTTTGAATTGGAATTACTTTGTTGTGGTAACAAGGACATCATATGTCCAATGTTACCATCTTCATTTAATGACTCGACAAACTCTGATGTATTTTGATTATAAGTTTCTATCCGGTTTTGCTCAAAAGATGCAGCTCTGTGTTAGTGTATAAAAAATTGGGAACATTTCTGGTTATCAATGGAATATTTTTCATTCTTATACGAGGTGTTAAATCTGTATCAACTCTGTTGATATAATGGACCGTTTGTCCATCTTCATTCATAGGAAATTTAATTTTTTTTATCAACCACTTTTACCAATTCATTCATTTTATTTATTTTGTTTGATAAAGTGGTTTTATGTTCATTGTATTTTTCCATTTCAATA